ACTCCTTAACATTTACTAATACTATATGCATTTATATTTTCTTTTTGATAAGTAGTTTAGCGTAATAAAATTAAAAAGAAGCCAATGAAGGAGAAGGCACAGCCATTAGATGGAGAGGTTCGTAGAGAAGGCATTTCTGCTGGGTGACCTCTGAGCTTGGTTGACTAGAATTTCTGCTCTTTGTGACGTATATATCACTTTTACCCATGTAATAAAGTTATCTCCAAAATCCATTTTTTGCAAAATTTCAAATAGAAAAATCCAGTCCAAATTGTCAAATGCTTTCTCCATATCAAGAAATACTAACACAGCTAGTTTTTTATTATGTTGTTCCATATATTCTAGTATATTAAGATTATTTCTGATATCGTCTATTTTGTATATTGTCCCACAACAGAAGGCATTTCTGCTTGGTGTCCTCTGAGCTTGGTTGACTAGAATTTGTGCTCTTTGAGTCATATACAGTATTGTCCCTCAACTCTCTTTTAGGTAGAAATCCACATTGATCTCCATGTATAAAGCCCTAAAAACACCTTTTATTCTTTCAGCTAAAACCACAGTAGATATTTTATAGTCATTGTTTAGTAAAGAAATTGGTTGATCATTTTTTTGGTACAGAAGCATCCTGCCCTTCTTTATGAATTAAAGCAGTATTCACCCCTTTCCAACTTTCTGGCATCAATCCCTTTTCCAAAGTCATCATTTTTTGCAAAGGTTATATCAGTTCATCTTCAAAACATTTATAAGAAGATGCAGGCATCCATTTGGTCCTCATGAGGCAGAATATTAACACAGGGTCTGTGCAGGAGGAGAGATCCTGCCTCCCTCCCAGCCAATTTCCCATGGGGGGCAGTATTTATTTCTGTGCAAAATTGTTCTACAGCCTTTCAAAGATCATAAATAGGGATTTTTCCAAAGTTTGGTTCATGTATGTCCCCACTTTAGGGAGAGAGTGTCAGCCAGTCATTGATGTTCAGAAGGAAGGAGGGCAGAAGGGTCTCTCCGGCCAAATCAGCTTCCGAGAACGTGTAGAGCAGGGCTGCAGTCTGGGCATCAAAAAAGGTCACCTGTCCCCCTTCACAGTTGAGAGCGACACGGATCCTCTTGGGATTCTTAGTCAGGGGCACTTTGGGGCTTTCTCTGGAAAGGATGGCTCTGAAAATCCATGCCCATTTCCCAATCTCCCAGATCCCTTCCTCAGGACAAGGATCGATGTAATCCTTCCTCTTCACTGACTTTTTGGCAACTCCTACAGCCCATTCCTCCTTATCTCCTACAGTGACTTCCCAGAAATGTCTCCCTGTTGAAAACCCCTGACAGCCAAAGATGTATTGCCAGTTTTCAAATCTCTCAGGATCTGGGAAAAGGTATTGTTCTTGAACAACTTCTTGAACACTTTTACAATCCTCCGAGAGGGTGAAGCAGGGGTGGGCTGTGTGTGGATCCAGAGTTATATTTGCTGTAAGAGGGAAGAGGAGGAAGGAGAAGAAAAAGAGCTTCAGCTGCAGGTCTGCTTTGAGCCTTGACTCCCAATGGATCAAACCTACGTCCTCCTCTCTGAAAGGAGTTCAGAGTTCACTTGATCAGCTGCAACTGCAGAGTTTCCTTGGCCAAGGAGACGCTTCCCTTCTTTAATGCAAAGGTTTGCTTTGATACAAAAACCAAACCATAGGAAGGAAGCACGTAGTCCTGACACAGGTCTGAAGACATTCATCTGATTATACAAAGAGATGAAACTCAGAGACTGTCTTTCAGAATAGCTGTGTGTGTGTAGCGCCTACCACAGCTTTCCGAATAGGTTAGGAAACATTTAGCCTTTCAGAGGATAGAAATATTTCCCAGAATTCTGCTTTCTGGGAGGCTCAGGTGATGGGGAGGTATTTTGGGGTCTGAATTCCTATGAAGGCAGTAGTGGAAAAACAGAAACTGAAATTTGAAGCTGAGTGAGGAGCCTATTGGAGTTGAAGAGCATTTCTGCCCCAGTAGATTAAAAAGCCTGCAAAACTAGGAACATCATAGCAATAGAAACATCCTTCCTGACATGAAGAACATCCCAATCAAGAATGAGTGTCCTCCAACAGCCACAGAATGAATCATAATGGTTTGGAGTAAGGACTCAGTTTGAAATAAAAATGTGAAAGATGAAAACCACCCATAAAGGCCTTTCTTTCTGTGCTTTACTAGGGAAGTTGGTACAGGAGACTCAGACCTCCATATTCTCAGCACAATCATACTGAGAGGGCTGTTTTTGGATCTGGAGAATGAGGATCCCCTGAATTTTGTGAAGAAAAACTGACCAGGGGTTATCCTTTCTCCCTTTTTCATGATAGGGACTGACAACATCACACCGTATCCCGTTCTGTGGCGACAGGAAGCAGCACAACTCAGCCATAATATTGGAGGGAAGTCAAGAAGATGCTCAGGGCAGCCAATGGCAGCCTCTTCTAGATCACACCCACCAATGTGGAGGAGCTAGAATGAAGTCAAAGGCTGCCAAACATGAAAAAATAAGGGTTACCACATTGGGATTCTTTCTTCTTGGAAGGATTCTCTCATTCTTACTGGATATTCATAGTTTTAAGGTATCTGATCCTATATGATTTTTCTATTAAAATTATGGGCATCAGAGTTTTAAATAGCAAGTGACAGAGATTCTTAAAACTGATATTTACCTTTCTGCAGTTGAAATCCAACTTTCAGAGTATCTGGGGAAGAAAAGGGAGAGATTCAGCATCTCATCATTGGAAATGGATCAACAACAGGGCCTCCCTACAGGTAGAGTCTTCTTTGCTTTCCCTGGCCTCAAATCAGGAAATAAGGAAAGCTAAATGCCATAATGTCCTCAGTGTTTTTTTAATCAAATTACTACTCTAAACTGAAATTGACTGCCAAATATTCAGACTCAGTACCCCAAGATAAGGCCTATTCTGCTTCCCTGGTGATCAGTGCAGGTGGATTTGGGAAAGAAAGGAGAGATGGTCAACCGTAACTATCCAATGGTTCCCATTTTTTAGCTCGAACATCTTTAATGAGAGAAATCAGAAAGGTCCTGTTCTCCCTCCTTGTACCCAAGACACAAAGCCCTTTCCACAGAGAAATGAAGGTGTCTTTCCCACTGACTCTGAACTCTATCCTTCTTTGATCCCTCCTGACACTAACAGAGAATCTCCCTTTGATGTGCTGGGATCAAAATGTCATCCAGCGTAAAACCCCTGTGACTGTTTTTTGTTACCTCTGAATTGTTTCATGATGCCTTTCAGAAACACACTGATATCACTGTAATCCCAGACTATCCACTTCAGCTCTAGAGGAAAAGCCACTGGATTCTGCAATGTTTTTTTTCGCTGGTACCTGGAGGAGGAAAACAATGTCATTTATCATCCCGCCAATAGAAGCTTTCTAAAACATCAAATTGTGCTTGAGGATTGACTAGCTAATTAAATATGTGGTGGGCACCATGGCAACCCAGTGGGTCCACAGCTGGCCCAAAACTGCATTCATCCACCCTCATCAAGTGATGGATCTAACAGAGGCCACCAAGTTTCACTCCTGGATCCTCTACTCTTTAAAATTCATGCAAATTGCTTGGACAAACGGCTGGATTGGACCTTACCAAATTTGAAAAAGGCTAACTTGGGTGAGATAGGTAATAGTCTAGAAGATGTATATAACATCCAAACTAATCTTGATGGACTAAAAGCAATGCAATGAAATTTAATAGAAACAAATGCAATTACTAGTCCCAACAGTGGCTGAATAGATGTATATAACATCCAAACTAATCTTGATGGACTAAAAGCAATGCAATGAAATTTAATAGAAACAAATGCAATTACTAGTCCCAACAGTGGCTGAATAGATGTATATAACATCCAAACTAATCTTGATGGACTAAAAGCAATGCAATGAAATTTAATAGAAACAAATGCAATTACTAGTCCCAACAGTGGCTGAATACAAACTGAAGTAGTTTTAGAAGAAGCTTTTGAAAACATCAGATTATGGTTCAGATTGCCTAGCTAATTAAATATGGATTGAACAGCATGCCAAATCACTGGATCCATAGCTGACCAAAAAATTCCACACATCTATCCTCATCAATCTAGATGATGAATGAGCAGCATGATCTACCACAAAAAGGTATATGAAGAGAGGCAACGTTTCCAAGTCAGGGGTAGTGCTACTTCCACTTTGTTCTGTGCTGAAGGGTTGAGTTTTCTGCAGCACATTTTAAAAGGGATTTTGGAAGAGGCTTAGAGAAGGGAAACCAAGTTGGCTGGAAATTCAGTCCTTTGAAGAGGGATGGACAATAAATGTTTAGCCTTGAGCAGAGAAGACTCACAGGGGATGTTGACTACAGAACCAGCAATAGGTTGTTCATGTCTCTGAAGCAGAGCCTCCTCCTTCGCTTTATCAGATTTGAGCAAACTGTCTCTCCAATATGATGTTGCAAAGCAGCACCCAGCTCTTAACCTTCCTGCTTTGCTTCACTTCTGTTACAAAGCGGTCAATCCATGCAGATTGACCCCCAGTGCTGCATTGACATGGCTCGTCATTGATCTGCCGAGATCTTCCAGGTACCCAGAGAAGTGGGTATCCTATTCGTAAGATGGGTCCAGGCAGAGGCAGGACAGCCCCCTGCCATGGAAGGTGTACTTTGGACTCCTGCAAAAGATTAGGGGTTGGATCTCACGGCCTCCATGGCCCTTTCCAACTTCAGGATTCTAAGGAGATGCATGCCGTTCAATTCCAGACATCTTGGAGATAAGTGAAAATTGAAACTGCAGAAAGCATTAAAAATATGATTTTTAAAATAAAAGGAAGTGCAAAATACTTCCTTATAGAATATATTTTTTTCACTAAAAATAAGATAGAGAAATGATAAATAATTTTGATAATGAAAATAAGTGATGAATCCTGGGGACAAATATAATATTTTAATATCAAATGTTGTTTCTTATAATTAATAATAATTAATCCTATCAAATATTGCTAATTATGTTGTGAAAGGTTGAGTTTATGTTGTGAAAGGTTGAGTGAAAGCCCTGAAATAAGTTATATTTAAGTTGAATTGCGATTAAATACAAACAGAGCTTTCCAAAATGGGACCCAGCAGGAGGAGCTGG